GTAAAAAGTTAGAGTACTGTACAGTACAGTACTGTAAGCCAACTACAGTACATACTGTACAGTACTGTACACACTGTGAGTACAGTACACTACAGTATACTGTACTGTACTGTACAGTACTGTAGTATTGTACTGTACCGTACCATATGTACAGTACCGCCGGAACGCCTATACGGTACTGGTTCAGTACCGTATTTCTATCGGTGAGGTGATTAGTGGTTACATCGGTCAAATCACAGTCATTTAGCTTCGCTTTGGCCCGTCGCTCGCCGATACCTGTAGCGGGAAAATCTAGGACTCATTTTTGGATTTTCTTCACTTTCCTAATTGAATTCATTAATCTAATTAGTGACAATCTTGCTACCATAAACACTTCAAAATGGTAAGAGTGAATATAATATCTTCTTATGCATCAGTTTAGTAGTCTTATACTAGGTATAGTGGCTGGTCAGAATGGCTGCTATTGATTTATTTTGGTATTACCGTACACGTATACTTTAGTACGAATGTTAGTTAGGCCGCCATTGATTTGACTTCTTAAATCAATGCCGTACAGTAGTAACGCAAATGAAACATTAATCCTAAGTGTATAATTTTCCGATTTTGAGCGATAGTTCCCTTTTAGCTTGTTACTAAATCCTTTATTCTATCTTTGATTACACTGTTTCTTAAGATTAACTATGGCACCACTGTGTCATTTTCAATTTTATGTGTCTCAATTTTCCTAAAATACAGTAATTACAGTAGATGATAAACGGGATACCAGATACTCATACAGTACACTAAGTACAGTATGGACTGCACTATACAGTTCAGTATAACACGGGCGATAGCGACTTCAGTACCGCATGTTATTCGTAATCCTCTACACTGTGAATATGGACTTCTAGTGGACATTGCAATCATTGTAATTCTAATGATCGTCTCAGAGTCTGAATTGATTGATTTATTTATTTATTTACTGTGACATACAGTAAACATAGGTGGATTAAAATGCATCATGCTCACGCGCACGGAAAGTACATAAATGCATCATATTTTATTGTTATGTTAGCTCTTTCTTTCTTAGTCAGAGTCTATAGGAAACGTATGTCCTGTCCTAAACACCAATGCTATTCGAAAATTCAGTAATGGTAGCTATGTTGTGTCGTAGTTTTTGGCTGTATTTGAGCGTGAGAGTTTCATTTACTATCATTAGAACATCTTGTTTGAGAGGAACTTACAGTACTTAGTATTACGATCGGTGATGCGCTAATATTTATGGACGTTTGGAGGCGGAGAAGGACACACCTGTTGAGATTTACTCTACTTCTGGAAAGTGAACAATAAGGGCATTGTAGAATCCTTGAATGTGCAATGCTGGATCATTTAATTTAATATCGGAACGATCGAGTTTTTAGTTACACATGTACACTATTGTACAGTACAATGCTCCTGTCTGTACAGTACAGTATTCTTCCTCATTGTCCATCATATTCCTATTACTGGATACTGTATAGGATAGGCAGAAAGTTAACATTCTTCTTACAAATCAGCTTTCTTTACCAAATTGAGAAAACGTGGTGTAGGATCACGTATTTTTACCATTGATTTGTGAGCGTAAAATTCATTCAGTTTTATTGCTTTATTTAGCGTGAATGTATCTCTATCCACGTCGGTCAAGCCGGTGTTCAAATTGGCAATGCTTGCTGGGAATTGTATTGCTTAGAGCATGGTATTCAGCCTGATGGTCAGATGCCGTCAGATAAAACTATCGGTGGCGGTGAAGACTCGTTTAATACATTCTTTAGTGAAACTGGCTCCGGAAAGCACGTCCCGCGCGCACTCTTTATTGATTTGGAGCCCACTGTTGTTGGTTTGTATAAAAAATACTGTATTTTATTTGATTTAAGCTCTCCTAGACTACTGCAAGCTTTGCATGTCTTGAAGCAGACGATGGCATCAATTTATCTAATGTACTCTTTATCACTGAATAAATATGAAACTTATGTTTAATGATGTCATTCATTCGCTCAAATGCCAACAGATGAAGTTCGTACCGGTACATACAGACAACTCTTCCATCCCGACCAGCTCATCACAGGAAAAGAAGACGCTGCTAATAACTACGCTCGTGGCCATTATACCGTTGGTAAAGAACACATCGACGTAGCTCTTGATCGTGTGCGCAAATTAGCTGATGCATGCAGCGGTCTTCAAGGTTTCCTTATCTTCCACTCTTTCGGTGGTGGTACCGGATCTGGATTCTCTTCTCTTCTTATGGAACGTCTATCAGTCGATTATGGTAAAAAATCGAAATTAGAATTTGCCGTATATCCAGCTCCCCAAATCGCTACGGCCGTAGTCGAGCCATATAACTCGATCTTGACTACTCATACTACTTTGGAACACTCTGACTGCGCTTTCATGGTCGATAACGAAGCTATCTACGATATCTGTCGTCGTAAGTTAGATATCGAGCGTCCTACGTATACCAACTTGAATCGTTTGATTGCGCAAATCGTATCATCTATCACCGCATCATTGCGTTTCGACGGTGCCTTGAACGTCGATTTAACAGAATTTCAGACTAACTTGGTACCATACCCACGTATCCATTTCCCGCTTGCTACTTACGCTCCAGTTATCTCGGCCGAGAAAGCTTATCACGAACAACTGAGTGTGGCTGAGATCACGAATTCTTGCTTTGAACCTGCCAATCAGTTGGTAAAATGCGATCCTCGTCATGGTAAATACATGGCATGTTGTTTACTATTCCGTGGCGATGTTGTACCTAAAGATGTAAATGCGGCTATCGCTACCATCAAGACCAAGCGAAGTATCCAGTTTGTAGATTGGTGTCCAACCGGTTTCAAAGTCGGTATTAATTATCAGCCACCCAGCGTGGTTCCAGGAGGCGATTTAGCTAAAGTACAGCGTGCAGTAAGCATGTTGAGTAACACTACAGCAATCGCCGAAGCATGGGCTCGTCTTGATCATAAATTCGATTTAATGTACGCCAAACGCGCTTTTGTTCATTGGTATGTCGGCGAAGGTATGGAAGAAGGCGAGTTTTCAGAAGCTCGTGAAGATTTAGCAGCATTAGAGAAAGACTATGAAGAAGTAGGTGCAGACTCTGGTGATATGGAAGGTGACAATCAGGAGGAAGAGTAATTGTGTATCTTATGCGTTTTACATATACAGAATTGTAGCTGTTTGATTCTTGATATTTACTGTGCTACGTATCGTACGGTGTGACGTTATCGATTAATCTACTTCGTGCTCAGATTATAATTGAAATCGGGACTTGCTAAGAATGGCTTACTTGGCAACAAGTGTTATGCTAATAATATATAGTCGATGATTAGTGTTTCCGGAAAAGGTTCAATTCTTGCTTTTATCAACAATTATAATTATTTACTTGCTTGACAGTAATTTGCCTTTGTCATATAATTCAAATAGATTGTACCCTTGATATGTACCCGATTTTGTGCCTTTCTTGCATCATTTTATATTAGATCGACCTTAAGAGATAATTTCAAAGTGCGATTATGCTTCATGCTCTCGTAAATTAGAAAATTTTTTGATTTGAATGGTTTTTATATGCTTTACGTCATAGCTATCATGGTACTGATCATCATGAATAATCTATGTTTTGTTTCATCTTCATTTGTTTAACTGGAATTGTATATTACTGCTTAATTGTATAAGATTGAATACTTTATGACAAATGCCCAACCTGTTTTACAAATAAATAGAGATTTATTTAGTGCGAGAATGTGATGGGATGAGTGATTGACCTGATATCCCTATAGCTTGCTATTTGGAAGGATTAATTAATGCAAATTTAAAATTTTGTAGCGTACTTAATATATTCACTATCTATGCAAGTAATTATGTACGTACATACAACTATTGAAATCCGTAATCTGCCAGTATCCAAAATCGCCAGATTTAAAATATCAACAGTATTTAAGTACGGTACTGTAGTTATAGCCATTGAAAAGGGTTTAGGTAAAATTCACAGGTCAACTCGATCATTTGTTTTTACAGTGTAGACGTTCGGTGTTACGGTAGTAATATATTCTAATTTTCATGCTTATGTGTATATCGCAGTCTTACAATCAAAATCAATACTCTACGTTGGTGGTATGCCTCACACAGATACACTGGGATGCAATATATTATTATCTATAATATGCAATATATAGCTACGTAATACAGTACTAGTAAACGCATAATTTAAATACCGTACAAAGTGCCTCGCCGGTTATCAATGAGAATTGGTGAAGACCATGAAGTACAAAATCGTAGAAGCATCTGTATTTTCCATACTCATTACAGATAATTTTATGTCATCGGTAGAAAGTCTAGATATCATTAAAAGAAGGAATGAAATAAATTGCCAATCGAATTTTGAATTCTCAGGAAAACCGAACTACTGTGCTATATTAACTTAACGTAAAACCTTGTACGCGTTTACAATGTTATGATTAATAGGAAATTAATATTTCCCTTGCTAGAATTTACCGATGCAGGTAGTCTTCGTTTGATCCACGATCGTAAGTGTTCCGAGATACCGATTTAATACGCAATATTTACCACGGTGTACGTACACACGTTCTCTATACCGAAAACAATTTACTGTAAAGTGTAATCACATATTTGCCAGCAATCATACATATAATTAATCAAGAAGACAGTATCACATAGTTACAGTATTGATAAAGCAAACTGTTATGCAGTAGCACTTCTATAAATTGCTTTTCGTACGCACTGTACACTGTGTACGGTACAGTAGTATCTGAAACATGCCAGTATACGCATATTAATTTTATTTTATATCACGTTAGAGATTTGCTCAATTTTAATAGCTCAGATTTTGAGTTAGATGATTGCGAACCTAAAAGGTTGTAAAACCCAAGCACTACAATTAAATTGCAACAAATTTGAGCAATATCAAGCGCTGGAACATAACATTTCTACCTTACCCCTAGACACGCCCAAGAATTCGCTTTTTATAATTCAATTATACCATGCATACCGTTTTATTAACCGTGTAATGATTATCTATGGAATAACATTCAATTTCAACTATGGTCCCACTCTCCGTTTGGCCGTGATGGTATTACCAAAAATATCGGCTCCTACTTATGTATATAGATGTATAATGGGTCATTTCACTCATTTTTTTTATCAGTCGCATTAAATACAGTACAGGTTACAATATATTACACGTATTTACGATTGATTTATTACGATAGCTACTAGATAAGGACTACATTAATGTAAGCTATGTATACTGTATATCTGATAATGCATTTGCGCTATATTTGTACGACATTGTGCCAAATACGGTGTATAGGATTCTGACAGAAGCAATTATATTGCAACATTTACATTGTTTATATTTGTTGTCAATAGCATGCGAGTATTTAAGACTATTTTATTAGCGTATGCCGTCCTGTATACTAATGTAGTCATTGAAGCCACAATGTAGACCGCCTTATTTCACTGTCAAGTTACTGTTTAAGTTAATTGACTAAAAGGGGTAGAAGCGCCAGGACCTATGTTTATGGATGAAAACTTTATGATGATGCTTTATTTTTTTAGTCTACGTACCATATACGAGTAAATAATTTTCGATTTCCGTAATATTAAACTCTAGCAGCAAAGGCTATACTAGTATTCTATGGCTGATTTTAGTATGAAGCATACGTAAACTGTAGCTATGGGTCCTCACTTGCACTGCACAGAATGTACGAGTTATATCAGGCATGCGAATATTAAGCGTACAGCAAGTGCCGATTAAAATTATGCTTAATAAAATTGCCACACTTCAAACTCTTTAATATTGTCTAATTTTGTTTTTATTTTTTGAATTGAATAATGTTTATTGAATTGTTTACAGTTGAATAATCGGATTGGCTTCCGGGTACTGATTGCAATGCTGCTATATCACTACACTACTAACCAACTCCAACTTTTAACCTATCCAATTTCATAGGCAGCTAAGTACAGTATTAAAAAACTGCAGATTTAATGCACTCGTGATTATAATAATACTGTCACTTCGCACTGAATATACTGTATTCCGCCATTATATATGCATACAGTATGACTGATCTGAAAAATTAATTCTTACACGACGATGAATGGATTGATTACTGGTTAAAGTACAGTACATAGTACAGTTAAATTGAGATTTATAGTTCATACTTTGCATAAAGTAGTATCAGTCAATATATTTTTCTGTAGGTACAGTACAGTTACTACTGCATATTGTTCCAGTTTCAAGCAGTATGGATGGCATGGGCATAGTCAGTGATCACATGGTGGGGAAGTAGGTAATGTCTTAAAACTGATCGAAGTTCAAGCGTTGGAACTTAACTTCAAATCTGAAGCTGGTTCAGTCCAAGGGCAATATTATTATTAAAAGTTAAACCGGCGTAATGTAAAAAGTACAAGTAGTCAAGTACAGTATAATATTAACGATGATACAATAAAATCGATCCTATTACGAAATATTATATAAACACAGTAGACTGAGTCATTGATTGAAGGACTTAAGAACTTAGTGCTAAACATAACAGTTATTAGCACAGCACATAACTGAAAATACTGATCGTTTGTACCTTGGAAACGCTTGGCGTTTCCAATTTTCTGGAGAAGAATCAAAGCAATTAAACGCCGCCATGGACTTCTAAATCTATGATTCCATAGTGTATCAGTGTTTTTTGGGACAGGTACGGGCATCTAGTATACCGTAGTTTTTCTTTTATGCACGATTTGAACTTTGAACACTTTGGCCACTTCCTTTCTAAGTACGCATGTGTATTGGACTCCTGTCCTGTTGTCCAATGTCTGGCGTCGGTCATCACGTATAAAAAGAACGGCCCCTTCCTATTATTGGCCATTCATAGTGTCCCTTCTGGCTCGGCACGTGCGTACAATTGATTGTTCGATTTTGTTATCGAGAAAAGATTGCAGCCACCATTTGACATTTCTTTGGTAACTTTTGAAGAAATTGATTGCGATTTTGACGTCTATATTAATCATGGGTGATATTCGTAAGGTCCTTATTAGCGATAGCGTAGATCCGAAATGCAAAAGCGTCTTGGAAGCAAAGGGTATTGAAGTGACACTCAATACTAAGCTATCACCGGCTGAATTAGTTGCTGAAATCCCGGTAAGAGTCTACTGTTATCGTGTTTTTGGACAGTGTGATGGATGTATTTGGTGTTGCCTAGTGGAGTGATATGGTGGATATTGATCCTCCAACGATACTAGGGATCACTCAACACAAATTGCTTCTCACCTTAATAAAACTCTCGTTTTTCCCCCAGTTCCCCTTGCTTCGTAGAACAACTTCTCTTAGTCTCAGGTCAAGCTTTAAATAGCAGAAGGCCCTCCCCTTTTTCTGATGTTTTCATTAAATTAATGCATCATAGTACACTTGTCGATTAAAAAAACGTTGAGAGAAATATTTCTCGATCGCTTGGTGTACTTGTTGATAGTTCAGTTCGAAACTAGTTAGTGTACATCGACGAGCCAATATAGGGTATTACTTGAGCTAAGCGGATATACTGTACTGATCTGCAATTATAATTACAAAGTACTGTATGTACCGGGTAGTTCACTTCCTGAGGATTTTCGCAGTGCATTTTTCTTGAAAGCTCGAAAAATGACCTTTTTCGACCTTTTATACCAAATCTTCGTACTTGACACTTTATTGCAAGTATTTACTACGCTTTTGCTGTACTTTGCATAATTTTCAGTCTTATCTACAAATACCATCATAATATTGTACAGACAGACAATCATTACATCTAAAGTACAATACATTATTGGAAACAAGTGTAGCAGTTGTCATGTTGAGCGTAAATACCATGTGCTCAACTGCTTGCTCACCTTCGGTCTTATGTTGATTCGTTTTTCTCCTACTGCCAATCATAACCAACAACATAGCAATCATCTGACTCGAATTTTGTATTGACGATGTTGTAGAAAAGAAAGAGTACTGCACTTTACATTCTCAATGACCACAACTCTCGTAGGTAACAAAAGTAGACTAAAATTAGATGATCTGAAATTACAAGTATATAAGCCCTGTATACGTGAAAGATCAGCTCATATCCAATATAGTTACCCCTTCTATTCACCGTCAATACTGAACTGTACTACAATGTCTTAATAAAATTAAATTATAGTACTATATAATTCTTTGAACGCTGTTGTTATGCTCCTAGAACTATGACGGTCTGATTGTAAGGTCGGCAACCAAAGTTACTGCTGAAGTTATCAAGGCTGGCAAAAATTTGAAGATAATTGGTCGAGCAGGTACCGGCGTGGATAACATTGATATTAAAGCAGCAACTGAATGTGGTGTTATTGTAATGAAGTACGTATTAATGTTATGAAAGAGTGATATCTTTGCTATATCATTATACAAATTAAATTCCTAAGGCAATCCTGATCTAATATCTTCCCCTGGTATCATTTAGTACTCCTGGAGGAAATACTCTTAGTGCTGCAGAGCATACATGCACTTTGATGGTTTGTCTTGCTAGGTTAGTGATAATAATTTCTGACTCATTAAATATTTGATAATCTTTTATGGCCATTGCTTTGCTTCGAAAGTTTTCAAAAATCATTGCAGAATCAATGAGACTTAATAAATATCGCTGTGTTAACGACGGTGTTCTTGGATATTTGTATCAACGATCCTATTCGATTAAAATATCATAAAAAAATCGACAGACGATACCGTTTTAGAAATCTTGTCTACTGTCTTCATACTTATAACTGTCAATAACAACGTGAAGTAAAGTACCTTACTGTACTGCTTGCTAGATACTTTACGGTGTAGAAAGGACTGTATTGTTATTAATGTTAACAAATACACAATTTTATCTTTGAAATTTCAGACAAGTTCCTCAGGCTGCTGCTTCTATGCGTGAAGGACGGTGGGACAGGAAGAAAGTAAGTAAATTACTTAAATTAAAGTATAATAATATAATTATTAATAGCCGAGTCATCGCTTTATATTGCAAATCTGCCACACACTTGAGAAAATCACTTAAAGCATCCTTGATTTCATTTGTAATCAATATTAATACTGAAGTTTTCGTTAGATCGCAGAATATCTGTATATTATTGTAAAATAGTAATCTGCCACATTCGTATTTTAGTACATGGGTATCGAGCTAATGGGTAAGACGTTGGGCATTATTGGTTTAGGAAGAATCGGCCGAGAAGTTGCAACACGTATGCAGAGTTTTGGTGTCAGAGTAAGTATGATTAGGTTGCCAGGTCGTAAATCAATCTTACCGAATTTTCGTTAACTTTTTGTAGACTGTTGGCTATGATCCCATTGTACCGGCAGAGGCCGCTAAAGGTTAAGAATAAATAACATCTCTGTTCGGATTAATTACAAAATCTTCGCTTGTAGGATTGCTAGCAAACTAAATTGTTGCTCTTATTCAACAATTGCGTCTCATTTTTGATCTTTTGTTGGTTGATAGAATTCGATGTTGAATTCTTTGAACTAAATGATCTGTGGCCTGAATGTGATTTTATTACCGTGCATACACCTCTGATCCCGCAAACAAGAGGTACATTTAGTTGTTGGTCTTTAGTAAGACTGTGAGGCCTTTTATAGTAGTAGATACACTGCTTATGCATGCAATTTTCCTCATTCTAGGCCTTCTAGGTGATGAAACTTTTGCTAAGTGTAAGAAAGGCGTTCGCGTTATCAACTGTGCCAGAGGAGGTATCATTGATGAAGCGGCGTTATTGCGTGCTTTACAGTCTGGCCAGTGCGCTGGTGCTGCCCTTGACGTATTTGAGCAAGAACCACCTCAAAATACCGAATTAGTACAACATCCTAATGTTATTCCCGTATGTCATTTGGGAGCTAGCACTGTTGAAGCTCAATCGCGTGTTGCTGTCGAAATCGCAGAACAATTTGTCGATTTCAATGAAGGAAAGAGTTTATTTGGAGCGATAAATGCTAATGCCATGGTGAAGGCTCTCTCGCCCAGTGCCAAGTCATTAGTCAAATTGGGAGAACGTCTTGGTCGTCTAGTTGAAGTATTGTATGGGCTTGAAGCCTGTAAGGAATTATCAATTGTGGCTCAGGGTCCCGATTACAGCGAAGCTCCATCATTTTTACCGGCAGCGATCTTGAGCGGTGTTTTAGCCCGTGATGCTTCTGGTGTCACTCTCAACTTAGTGAATGCCCCTGATTTTGCGAAGAAGAAGGGAATCACTGCGAAAGCTACGTATTCTGCTACACCAGATGCCAGGCATAGCAATAGCATCACCGTCAGTGTGGGAGGACACGTCTTTGGAGGTACGGTGATTGGAAATTTTTCTCCTGTCTTCACTGAGCTAGATGGGAAACAATTGCATTCTCCTATTAATGCTACTGGCAACATCGTCATCGGCCAAGGCCCGGCAGGAAGTGCTCCAAAATTTATGGTCACTATGGCTGAGCATGGCATTTCGACTTATGCGTGTAGTGGATCTGATGGTATTGGTATGCTCGATGTGTCGGCGGTTGTACCAGAAGAAGTCTTCAATAAAATACGATCCTTGCCTGATGTAAAATCAGCTGACATGTTATAAAAGCACGGCATTTTAATGTTTGCTTTTAAGTTTATATACTGTTAATTAACAAACTGATGTAGACCTTAATCCGAATAGCAGCTACCTGTGTTACTGTTTTCGCAGAATCATTTTAACTGATGACTCTGTTGTGATCGCGTTAAGAAGTCGTTCAGTTGCACTGCTATAAAAACTGTAGCTACGTTTTAGCTATACTTTATTCGCCAGAAGTTGCAGGTGGAGTTACATAACCCATTGAATTACAGGTCGCATGATGCGCATATTTGCAAATATCTGTTGCTGGTTTTGTAACAATGATGTTTATTATGATACCGATTCTTAAATAGGATTTCATTAAAGCGCTTTAATGATAATTGAATTTGATATTATCTTGTCCAATGAGATTACCGTAGTTAGTTAATAATAGCTTTACTTGATCGAAGTCGGATTATAACTAATTGCGTGTGTTTTATGATCTGGTACCGTACTGTATTGTGCCTAAGTTAACGGACATACGGTAGAATACGGTATGTCCATGGTAATATGTTCAAAGGAGAAGGTCTTATCGCAGTAGGGTGATCGTAAATCATGATCTGCTAAAGTTATCTAGTGGGTAGTTGTAAATAATTGCATACGCGGCGCGAATGATCGGTTAAATCATCCATTTGTCAAGTTCATAAGCTGGAAATAATGGAAAGGTGTCCTGCAATAATATGTCCACTTAATCCCTATATACTTTAATGTATGCATGCAAGTCCTAGAATACAAGAGCAAATTTGTCACCTATGTACTAAGTAGCGATGCGTATTTGCATACTACCAAGGTATGAAAGTTATTGATGTAATTTAAATACAAAAAATTGCAAAGAATAATGTACATTCTGATTGCACTTATATCCCGCAAGTAATAATACTAAATGCAAATACAGTACGTACTGCCGTGATTGTTCATCAAATTTACCGATGTATCTTGGACTAATAATCGGGATAAGCTAAAACAAAAAGTTTCTATACTGCATGAGCATGCATTATAAGTTTACACTTGGTGGTGGCTATGTACTAACTACGATTTCCTAATATCATCTAATAAAATCAACCAGGTTAATATTTATACATCTACCATCTAGCCCGATATACGTTGATTGAAATGAAGTAGTTGTATATCTTGTTTTATTAAGCGGTAGTTATACCTTAAGAATATACAATAAGCACTGTTGCATATTAAACTACAATAATTTAATATTTTATTAATTGGCTTGGCTATTGTATTAGCATTACTGTGAGCTATAGCTCTACTGCCGCTACAAGATTCAATATCGATTATGGTATTACATCTAGAGATATCTTGTTTTCGACTAGTATGATATGCTATTACAGTTATCAGTCAGTCAAATTGCAGCAGCTTCAAGTCCTTCGACGTTAACTAGTTACTATACTTTATGTAATACGTATTATCATCGCAATGCTGATTACAATATGGATGTAAAAGACTCAAGTGAGCCAATAACGTCATCCTTTTTGCCTAAACTACCGTCACTGAGGCCCTTGTCAAAGTATGCACCATCATTTTTCAGTTTCAGGATGTCCGTAAATGATAATTCTCGAGGAAAGAAGGCAATGTCATCTATAATTCATTAGGTAGTTATTGTAATAGTAAAAATTTAAACCGTGATTAATAGCAGTACAATATCTAAGTGTATTATTAAATGATTTGCAATCAATATGAAGTAAATTAGTTAGAATTATGAAATGACCACATACCAATCCAGAAATCGATATATTGATCTTCAGGTAACGTTGGTGAAAGGCCAACTGTTAAGCTTGGATTTATGTCTGGGATATTGGTACTAAATATGGAACAAGGTATGGCTGGGGCTAGGCTATCTTTAAATCCGTTGACGTAAATATCAATATCTTGAGTTATTACGAGTTGATGACAGACAATAGTAAAAGAAATTTAGAAAGGTCAACATTGCAATGAAAAGATTTACTAGCGCTCTAAAGTATCAAAGAAAATTAATCCAAATTACGTAAGCTAAACCCTGTCTAAATTGTATTCTTGTTGCCATGCATCAACAGCTAGAATGATTTTTTTCTACTCACGTATTGCTAGAATACTTTAGGCAAATGTTTCAATAATAACTTACCATTGCCCAAATAGCCGCTATTGGGTTCATAAATTACAACAATATGGTTCCAATCGTTCTGAACGGTATCAAAAGAACTGCCAATAATGCATTTCGATTTCCTTTGCATTGTCACACTTAGTAAACGATATCCACTTGGATCTTTGTTAATTACGATCTCGATGCCGCGATCTTTAGCAAAGGGACCAGTTTGAGGTTCATAACTTGATAATAAACGAATTGACATATCGTTTGCTGAACTCTTATCTTTATACCACATTCCAAACGTAAATCCATCATGGCATTTTTCGGGATCAACAAGACATTGATCAGGAAACGAACCTAGAGCGTAGAACGTTAGAAAATAGATAATACCTGTTAATTCTTATACTGTATAACCAGATTCTCTTCCCTTGCGATACTATGGTTATTGTTCTGATATTAAAATATTCATCAGAGTACTTGGATCGTTGTTTAATATCATTTCAAAATAGGATCGTATTGACACAGAATATTATTTCTCTAATTAAATATTAGATAATTTTTGATATGAAATGTATTTCATATTCTATTCTTAATAACCTAAGTTTGCATAAGCTTTAGTGCCTCTTATTCGCAAAGCATTAAGGAATTTGCCATTATCAAGACCAACAAGAAAGTTAGGTGGTAGAGGAGAAGTTGGATTAGACGGCGTAATAGAGGTAGATCCGACGACATTTTTGTCAAACATGTCGATTTCGTCCATTGGCCAATAATACGGGGTTTTATCTAATTAAAATAACATTATAAAATTTGTGAATTATTTTAAATTGAAGGTGCATAATCCATCACAAAAATCTCAGTAATGATTGCTGGGTTATGCCGACGATTGATCTTTTATTTTTCATGAGAAAATTGAGTTAAAACTAGAAATAATACGTATTAATTAGATATTCTATAGTCTTGTCGCAATATTACGTTTACGCATGTTTTATATAGAATACTCTTCCATAATAATTATCCTGTGGTATACAGATATTAGATACACAAAAAAGAATTCGCAGAGACTATGTACTTTTCTAAGATTCTTCTATAAAGTAATTTAAATCGTTTACAATAAAATAATACGATAGACAAGATATTATCAGAGTTGATTATCTTACGCATGGCAATAATTAAAAATTGATGCTTACCATAGCAGCCGTACATTTGATTGATAGTAACATAATCGAAGTAACTCATGCCCAAACGCTGTCCAATTAATGCAGTACCTATAATAGGAGTTATAACGTCTGTTCCATCTGTACTGAAATCAGTCCTTCCGTAATGCATCACGGAATTGTAATCGTATTCCACTGCAAAATCATCATTATGAGGATTGGCATATGTATTGAAATTATGTTGATATTCTATAATAGTTGAAACATTATAGCAATTTGTTAAACATCAGAAAAGTTCTTTAATAAACTGTTTTCTTACAAAACAATGTTTGCAATTCTACTAAAAGAAATAACTCTTATTTTTTAGAAACCATACATGTAAATATGCAAATAAGTAAAGGTTACAATATAGGAAATTACAAAACGATTTATTCCATTACCACATAAAAATAGTAAATCAAAATTTCTACCGAAAATAATTCTGTATGAGTGATGAAAGGCAGGTAATAGTAAAAATTGGAATTATTTACAGCAATATTAAAGTACTCATGTTGGTATAAGCCTAGTGATACAATATAAATTTAATTTATGTCAGTGAATATATTTTGTGTTCAAGCTATACCTGGAGCAACTTTCGATAAGTCAATGTTAATGTAATTATCTCTGTCTAATCTTGATTGGGTATGATGTAAGCCTAATACATGGCCAAGTTCATGGGCAATAATGCCCTCCGTGTTTGTACAAGAACCAGATTCTAGTGAAACGATGTGCATGGCTGCGTGCTTGCCAACAGGCGCTGAACAGCTAATAGAATTATAAATTCGTACCAAAATCGATTAGTGTCTTAATCTGTATAATGCATAATGAATTAGTAATTTGCTTGCTAATTAATAGCATAAAGATGTCTACAAGTAATCTGTAACCTGTTGGTTTAGATAGCGTTAAATTGATGAGAACTATCTTACCCCAAACCAGATAAAATATGAACATAGTCGACTTCGGTGGTACGTTGAACGAACTTTATGCAAGTTTCATCTTCAATATCCTCCATAACCTTTTCTATTTTAGACCTATGTTTCGCAGCTATAGATAAAAGAGAAGTAAGTATTAGCTTAAGAGTAAAATGATGTAGCTAATTGTGCTATCCATTTTCTCTGAGTAGAGTTTAAGATAGATTTCACTCTATACTATTAACGTTAGAGCAGAAGCAAGGAATTGAGTATTATACAATATTAGCAAAATATAGGTACTGTAGATATTCGTTTAGCGTTACTGTGGACAACACCAAGTAGTTAACATGACCATAATACGAGCAGAATTAGTACCGTAATAGAACTACTTAACCAATGATAATTGGTAATATAATATAACTATAGCTATATGGTGGAAATCTTTTCGGGTAATTAATTAATTAAATAATTAACTATTTGCTTATAAAAGTTACTTATATTATCGAGGTCTTAAATGATGTTGCTAACAATCTTTTATTGCAGCGATTACGTCGACCATTGATAATTACAGATATAACAAGGATAGCAATACTAAATATATAATTTTCCGATATTAAAATTACTATATTGTACCTTTAAATTTGAAACTAAAAATTTAAATTTTATTACCTACCACATAAAAATATGATTATGAATATTCTACAACAGAAACGAAATAGATATATTTTTACTATAGGGTTTTGTAATCGTACATTGACAATATCACAAATGTAAAATATTTATATCCCAGCTGAAGTTTTATGGAAAAATAATTTGAGGGTAGATGGTCTGAGGGCAGATGGCATATATGCATATTATATTTTATTAAATTAATTATATACACTTTTAATTGGGTATGAGTTAAATTAGTTTAACTTCGATCTATATCAACATTTTAAGCTTATTCTACTAAGTACCGTGCATAAACCTCGAAATGTAATATTCGGAGGATTAGTTTAATAAGTGACATAATTAAATAATCGACTAACTGATCTGTAACTCATACGCATATCGCGCTAAATACAGTATTCAATTCAGGTGATAATGCGCTACCTTATGAAAGATAAAAAACGAAATATATGGTAGAGTAGCCTAAGTAGATCAATGCTGCACTTGCTACTTATAGCCATCTGTATTCATTTTCGATAACAATAAATAACTTTTTTTGCAGTTATCAAAAATTTCAATTAATATCAAACATACATCTACAAAAGTATCTGAAAATTGAAGTAGTAAACATAAATATAAAATAGAATGGTAGTTAATAATTAAACAAACAAGACCATCAGGCGATTGATTAATTCTGTTATAACTATCATTACAATAGCCTTGTTTTTACTACTTTCTAGCAGTTTAATTTCTTCACAATATACTAATTCAATTCCCGTATCAAAACTGCAGAAAAATTATTTAAAACTTACGGTAGTTCTGATCGAAGACGTAGGGTACCCTAGCACCACTCCAGATATTGCTACCAATTCCAGATTGTGCTTGAGATGTTGTCCGCTCGTTAGTAGTGCTACTGAAACCATTCTTTAGGTTACTTTTAACGCTTTCTGCTGATACTTCAGTATCAGCTTCAATCACTGTATCTGGTACAATAATATCACCTTCCCATAAGTTACGAGTTAAATTTAAAGCTGTAAGAGAAAAGAGATAAGTACAGCTTTCAGTTTGAATCAAGGCAGATTCATCAATCAATAAAGTTAAAATTAATAAATCTTTATTTGAACTTATCCTTAATTATAGCATTTTCTCTTTTTCTTTTAATAACATGGTAATGTTTAGCTTACAGTGCTACATATATATGTAAGGTGATGATGTACGATCAATAATTAATTAAACTCACTCATTTTGTATTGCCACAATAGCATAAGACAGCAAAGACAATTATGCTTATCCTATAAGGTTAAGAGCGATTTGAGCTTTAATCTATAAACCGCTTAGCGACTACAGTATGTTGTTTTAAAAATTATTAACTTCATTCTGAATTCTGATATTGATATCTTCTTATCCGAGTATAATACTTGACTTGGGCATATTAAGAAAAAAATTGTAGCAATGCAGGGCAACTTAATTAATTCACATACGATTGCCTTATAATCCAAAATAAAGATGACTTCCACATTGGCTATAAGCCGCTTTGGGTTTCAATTTTAGCTGTTTGTATTTAGCCATGATATACGTAAATAAGAGTGTAGATAGAGTTTAGCCGAATTTAAAACACTATTTTATTTAAAGTTTATAAAATGGATTAATACTTAAGTACTAATAAAGGAGTCGATAATTTAGGGTAAAACTAAAGGTTACTTGTTACTTGCAAGTAAAGAGTAGACAAAAAACTTAGAATACGATATTCACAAACTTCGGAAGTGATGAAAAAAATGATGGGAGAGGTAAAATTTGATAGCTCAAATACAATTTCATTTGTCAGATCAATCTATTCCGAAAATCTTACATAGCTTTCTAATAGTTATTTACCAGTATTTAATGCGAACTCTCATGACGCTACATCGTAGCACTGAACATAAAATTCTTCGTTAACGGAAATAGTTTCTTTGAATATAGGTCAAGTATGCCTAATTATAATACTGATAATGATATTGCTACATTAGCGCTTATTTAATTACGGTAGTTTATTGTTATTCCCACGTAGATCAATAAAAAATTTTATTGAAAATTTATTTTAACCGCATTTCCTACTAGAAAAAGTTATATTTTGACTTTCGATCGAGTTGTAAATCAAAATGGTCACAAAATATTACACTATTCGACAGTATAATAATAACTTGCAGCAAAATTCCGACAAGACTTGAAAAAAATCGTAATTTGAGGTAAGACAACCAATAAAAGTTATATATAAAGTGTATTAGTTTAGCGATCTTTTTAGCTATCTTTTATAATAGCCCGATTATGTTACAATAAGGATCATGAGTAAATTTATCATATTTCTGGCAATCTTATTCAATTTATTTTTAGATCTTTCTATCCCCAAGAAGCGTTAAATTCATGTAAAATTATAGCTATCAGTAGGGTAATTTGGTATTATGTTGAGAAAAATATTGTGCTATCCTATTGCATCATCGTATTTCAACTACTAAATTTTAACTTTACTCGTTTTTATTACGGGATTAACTCGGTATTCCAATGCCCTTTAAGTAAGATGATTTTAAATGTACCAAATTAGCCTATATAAGTCAGCCGTTGATTTGAAACAAAGAGATCGAAGTGGTATTGTGTTAAACTCGCAGCTGTATCTCCAATAGACGCCAATATTTCAGAGAGCTGAGTACGAAAACGAAATATTCTATTTCAACAGTTCATTTCTGCATGTAGCTTCATATCATCAGTGTTTCTAACTATCAAAAATGAAATACTAAAGGGTGATACAGGAGAAGAGAGTATTATTTACAAACAATATCATTATATTATGTATCGCTACTGTATCTTGTTTTATATTAGTCCTGTCATTATTTACTTTATCGGTTAGTTTTTTCTCTCACAATACTAATCAATTTTCTCACATTTTGAAATAAGGTATTTCTTAATATTATAACTCGTCATTTTCAATTATTAATTTACTTTTGATATTGCATGTCGTTGATGATGCCTTAATCATTTCATTTTTCGAAAAGAGATAAGTTCTCTATGCTATAAGCTAAGCTTTTGAACTTGTAAGGAATGAATGGAAACAACTCTCTTATTCAAGCGCTTCTATCATTGTGAAGTAAATTAAGGTGAAATTTTGCATAGTATTAACAGATCATGTGTGCGGTTAATGATGGTCTTGAGATCGAAGCTACTATAGTAAATATATGTTTATAATATTAAACTATCAATTTGAATTAAGAATAATAATTTGATCTTACCTTCGTTAACCTGAAGAATTAAACTGCTCGCCGATAAGCTGCTATTGGTATTTTTATCCTTGAGTTTCTTATTTTTTCGATTTTTTCGAGCTTGTTTTCGTAACATTCTTAACACCTGCTTGCGATATTTTTTATCCTGTTTCAATTGTCTTTGACGAAAAAACTTCAATCTATCTTCTTCATCCAACTTGAGTAATTTATCATTAAATTTTTTCTTATTATCATCCGTACTATAAAGTCTATTCAATTCTTTCAGAGACTTATTGCCTTTGCGTTTTTTTGAAAGCTTCTTTTGATCACGAGAAGTAATACTTGCAACACCTGCATTCTCACTGTCATCATCATCTCGTTCTGTAGCTCTTTTAAACAATTTATGGAGAGTTAATTTATCATCAAATTCATTTTCATCCGCTTGGACCATCAAGGCGATGTAGCAGATGGAAAATGTTAAGACAAAGTAAAGAGAAATAGCACTGTGCAATTTCATCGCTAGTCAGTGGTAATCTGCTGTTGAATCAGATCGATGAGAATAAAATTTTATTAGTGGAGATGACTTTAATTTGGTCAGTTATCGACGATAACTTGGAGTTATAATGAAATTGATACGTCAATTGATTAATCCAATTGGAGTAAATACATCGACTAGGATTAATATTTACCAGTAAAACTTAATTTCGGTTTCCAATAATTCTTTTCTACTTCTTAATTTACTGCCCCTTTGACTTGCTAACTGTTAATTCCTTTACCATACTATGCGCCGATAGTTTAACACAGCAGATGTATGTGCAACGTAATTTTATAGGCGAACGCAAAGTAACCTATTCAATTATTCAATTA